AAAGTTACATGTGTTAGGCTATTAATAATGAGCATTAATTTGTATTTTTAATATAAAATTACATGTGTTAGATTATTCATAATGAGGGTTAATTTGCATATTTAAGAAGTATGAAGGCTAATTTGTATCTTTAAAAAGCATGAGAACTGATTTGCATTATTTCATGAGTTTGGAAGTTTATTTGTATCGCTTTTAATTAAGAGACTAACACGTTAATTTGGGATAAGCACGGGAGCTTTTGCCAATAATAACAGCAAAACATATTGACTTATCACATCTCAAATGACGAAATTGCCCATCTAAACGTGCCCCTATATAGCATATTCTTGAATGAAATTCAGAATATGCAGTCCGAGTGTTATCCTGTTGACCAAAAACTCGAGTCCGTCGGATGCCCCAACTCACTTCTGTTTAGCCAGTTCAGTCCCCATAATTATCTTCTCGTTTTCTTCAAATTCAAACCAATTTCTTCTTCTTAATGTTTTCAAAATTCGTCTCCAAACTTGAGATTTTGGGATTGCCCAGAATCTCTATTGAGAGAATAATTGTGAGTTAAAATCCCACCCAGTTGCTGACAATTCAGAAATTTCATCTCTTGTCTCAATAATGGCAGCGCCAGTGGTCGAGGTTGGAAATGGGTCCGGCAACGGGTCGCCGGGATTATTGCCAGAGGACGCACTCTTCGACAAGTACGAGATCGGGAAGTTGCTCGGCTGCGGCGCGTTCGCCAAGGTGTATCACGGGAGGAACGTGAGCACCGGGCAGAGCGTGGCTATCAAGGTCGTGAGCAAGCAAAAAATCGTGAAGGGAGGGCTCATGGGGCACGTGAAGAGGGAAATTGCTATCATGCGCCGCCTGCATCATCCACATGTCCTCAATCTCTTCGAGGTGCTCGCCACCAAGACGAAGATTTTTTTCGTGATGGAATTCGCCAAAGGCGGGGAGTTGTTCACCAGGATCGCCAAGGGACGTTTCAGCGAAGACCTCAGCCGTCGGTATTTCCAGCAGTTGATTTCCGCCGTCGGATATTGTCACTCTCGAGGCGTGTTTCATCGTGATTTGAAGCCGGAGAATCTACTCCTCGACGAGAATTGGGATTTGAAAGTCTCGGATTTTGGACTCAGCGCCGTAAAGGACCAGATCCGACCCGACGGACTGCTCCATACTCTCTGCGGGACTCCGGCTTACGTGGCCCCGGAGATTCTCGCGAAGAAAGGCTACGACGGGGCGAAGGTTGATGTCTGGTCCTGCGGCGTCGTCCTCTATGTCCTCCAAGCCGGTTACCTGCCGTTCAACGATCCGAACCTGATGGTGATGTATCGGAAGATTTACAAAGGCGAATTTCGGTTCCCGAAATGGACATCTCCCGATCTCCGGCGATTCTTGTCTCGCCTTCTCGAGCCGAATCCCGACTCGAGGATCACCGTCGACGAGATCCTCCATGATCCCTGGTTCAGAAAAGGCTACAAAGAGATAGAACTCCATTGGGAAGAGTTTGACCCGAAACCCGAATCCGACAAAGACAAATGCTTAAACGCTTTCCACATAATCTCATTCTCGACAGGTTTTGATCTCTCCCGTTTATTAAACGATCCTGTTGAGCTGGTTCACCAGGAGCGATTGGTGTCGGCCGAGGAACCGGAGAGGATAATCGAGAAAATCGAGGAGGTTGCTCGGTCGGAAAACGTGACGGTGAGGAAGAGCGAAGAGTGGGGTGTAACGCTCGTGGGGCAGAACGGTAATTTCGTTGTCGATGTGGAGATTAACCGGTTAACGGAGGAACTGGTGGTGGTTGAGATTAAGAGACGGGAAATGGACGCTGGGTCTAGTCAGCAAATTTGGAAAGACAAGCTAAGGCCGAAGCTGAACGACCTGGTTTACAAACCAGACCTTCCCGACGGTGTCCAGTAACTGAAACTTGAATTAGTTTCTGGAAATTTATGATTTGGGAAATGTATGAATAGCAATTGATTTGTCGTCCATCACAAAATCCCCGGATTTCCTGTTTATGGTTTCTGCCGGGGATTTGAATTGAATGGTAATTTTCAATATTTAACATTCTTTTTATCTGACTCCTGAAGTTCATGTATAATATTATACTGTGTGAACAAAAAAAAAATTTGTTTTAGTCAAATTATATTATAAAATATAAATTTTTAAATAAAAAATATGTCTTTAATATTAAAATTTTTTGATTTTATAGGTAAAATTATTAAATAATAAAATTATATATATTTATTTAATATCAAATAATATTATGTAATTTACCGACATAACCTGACATTATTGGTGGAAGTATGACATTATTGGTGGAAGTATGACATTTTAAATGACTTGCGATTATTAGGGAAGAGGGGACAAAGTCATGAGTAATGTTTGAAATTAATGCAACGCCTGCATCCTAAGATTATAGAGTAACCAGGTAGGCCACATGTATATGCTGTTGTGACGTTCTGTTTATCAAATATAGGCATACTCACTTATTGAAACGTAGAGATAAGAAATTATTAAGGTTACACCAAGAACTAAGGGACCCTCATATGGGTTATCCAGAAAGAAGGGAAAAAAACAAAAGAAAAGAAAAAAAAGAGGCCCCATTGTGAGGACAAGACTGGTTAACAAAGAACAACCGGACACGTGCAATTTCCTCGCGTGCTTTTTCTTTGGGCAGTGTTAGGACGATGCAAGCAAAATATGGTAACTAAAAGT